CAGTATCAGCTCATGAGTTAGGCACCTATCGTCTGGTCCTACAGCTTTGCGCTCCCCCCAGGACCGAGTATTCATGTGGCCTACGACGACACGACGTGAGTTGATCGGCTCTATTCCCGCTTGCCTGGCTCGAGCCTCTACAAAAGAAGAAAGCAAAAGGATTTAGACTATATATCTGTCGTCTATACGTTTCTAGATTTTCAGTCTCGAGACCAATTATTGGTTTCCCTCACCACTGATATTTCGAAATTTTGATACTAATGTATTCATCTGTAGAGCTCAAAAAGCGGCGGCTGCGTTGAATCATCACTATCAATGTACCACACAGATTGGGAAAATGATACCTCAGTAGTTAGGGACATCGCCGTACCATGGATGTCTTCGCCTGATCTCTGGTTTCAAGAGTAACGAGGCCCTCGGCAGCAAAAAGCACAGCCTTTAGAGCGGGTGCCTCCTGTCTCAGGCCCAATTCAGTAGCGGGTAATACTTAGTAGCCGTGACGCTCGCGCCAGCATCTAGGGATAGCTTCTACACGCGCATATTTGACCGCCAACTAGGGTCATACGTGCCCCCACTCCGCGACCTGATTGTTCACGCATAGTTGCTTACGTGGATTTGCTCCTGTTGATCAATATCCTTGGGTCCCTCAATGCGAGCATCGACACCCAGGGAAGTCTGTGGCCATAGCAGACCATGGCGGTGATTGTGACAGTTGGGAGAGATGGGCAAAGGGAAATCGCCCGATCATGCTTCCGGTTTATATGGAGAAACTGGCCCACGAAGGGGTCCAGTTCCTAGGAGAGACTAAGGGTGAGATGCACAAGCGGTTAAATATGGGTGCAGAATCAATCAAGTTTGGTGGAGAGATTGAACTCGTGTTGAGCTCCGCAATCATGTAGCGAGCCTTGCAATATTCTGATTGCCTAGCGCCCGGTCCAGCCCTGCCTCTCCAACCAAGGCTCGCAGTCCATTTTGACTGTAGCCTTGCTTCAAACGCATCAGTGAGTCTAGTACCACTGTTTAAGCATAGAGAGAAATAACATTAGTGTCATTTCTGTCTAGATTAAGTATTAAACTTAAAGATAGACATAGTTCGTCTCTAGAATATCACGGGCTGAAAAGCCAAGCATGAAATTATACTTACCCTTGATTAGCCTCCAATCACCCGTCATCTCGTCCCACATACGCAAGTCATCCTTTTGAACTCCTATAGAAACCTGCAAAGTTTTTCCGACGTCCAGTTCTGCTTTTTGAAATCCTTTAAGCAGCTTAGGAGGTTCATTGGCTTCTTTTGGATAGCTCACATAGAGCTGGACAACTTATTTCGCTTTAAAATCGTCAGTGTTCTCCAAAGTCGCATTAGCAGTGATATAAAAACCGTCATGGCTCGTTTCAAGGCGCAGACTACTGAGATTGAAAGAGGTGTATGCGAGTCCGAAGCCGAAAGGAAACAGAGTTTCGATGCGATATCTGCCGAACCTCTTATAACCAACATTCAGACCTCCGTCAAAGTTGACCTCAAGGTCACTAGTAATCTGTTGTGATATAAGCTGTAATTACGCAGTGGCAATTATAGATCTGCTTTTGTTATCATAGTTATAAGCTTGCTCTACCCTAGACCTCTGTGTGCCTTAATAGCATGCGCATGTGCTATATTAGAGACCCCTACAATTCCAAGGGGCCTAGGTTTAAGCACTGTTTAAGGCAGTTAAAAAACACTACCTATACTTTAGCAAGATATACCTAATTAGAAGGTAATTAGTAAGAGTGTTCTATATTACTAGCCTTCTAATAAATAGTGTTATAAACCTGGGGGGGTGTGTTGTGATATAAGCTGTAATTGCGCAGTGGCAATTACGGATCCGCTTTTGTCATCACATAATCTGAATAGCTTCCTCAAGAGTCTTGGAGAAGGTTGAAGGTAACTTTCCACCAGGGCTTATGTCGCCAAAAAGGGTTCTTTCCAGAGCGAGGACAACTTGCTGCCCAGGATACCATATTTCCAAGATCCCTTCCACTTTTCCAATCCACGACATGAGAATAGCGGAGTTGTTCCCCAGCCGGATGAGTGTTTTGGAGGACGTCGAGGCGATCTTTGTAATAAGCTCATCTTGACCACTGGGCAATTGAAGGCCGATATTGCTATCGGCACCCTCAGTCCAACCATCGTTGACAACAATGATGCGAAGATCAGCCCAGCGAGCCAATGATAGAGCTTGCTCGTTCCTTGCCACATTGGCAACTTCCACACCGAGTGTCACGCCGAAGTTTGACGTGGATAATGAGAAGCTCATAGAATCCTTCAGATATAAGTCGATAGGTTTCCCTGCCTCAAGCTCTATGACACCAGAGACGGGGTTGCCGAAGTTCTGCTTGGTCATAGTAACGACATGTTGACCGTTAAGCAGCAGCACGGCGTCTCTCTGACCATTCAGAGAGAAGTAATACAGCCCGGTCGTGTTTGGTAGGAACTTGCCCTCATACACAGAAGAAAAGATATCCGGCCAGGCCTAGAACATATTCCTAGGGAACATCCCTGAGGTAATGTTCTAAGGATAAACAGTCTGATTAATGTTGCCGGACCAGTTTGTGTTGTTCCAGTAGATTGCTTTGAGATCCTTGAGCATAGAGGACGGGGCAGTGGGATAAGGACCAGTTCCGGGGTGTGCCTCAGCATACCATAACCCGGCATGCTCCTCCGTAACATGGGTAGCGTTGGTAGCTCCACGACCAAACATGGCAATCTTTAGGTACTTGTGTTCGCTCAAAGGCAACAATTGCTGTTCGTTCTTGAGAAGAACCATACCGTCCTACGCCAGCTCCTGCGCAAAGTCCTGATGTTCCTGTGTACGTGCCATGGCCGCAGCGTTTCCCTCGGGAGGGTAATCGACGGCACCAAGCTCGAACATTGGACGCCAGAGGCGCTCAACCATATCCTTGACACGAGAGAACTCGACTGAACCGTTGTTGACGGCATCTTTCAACATGTCTCCATAGTAGGCGGGGAGACCGAAGGAGTCAACAAGTGAGCCACCGGGCATGGAGATGTCCATGCCATTGTTAGCCGACGCCACGGTACTGCGCTGGGCAAAGTACCAATCAGCCACGATAAAGCCTGTGAAACCCCAATCGTTCTTCAGGGTCTTGTTCAGGAGAAACTCGTTCTCACAGGTGTACTGCCCGTTAAACTTGTTGTACGAGCACATGACGGAGGCTGCCTTGGCCTCCTGAACCGTCGCCTTGAATGAAGGCAAATAAAGCTCCTGCATGGAGCGCTCGTCCGCCACAGCATCCACAGCGTCGTACTCGGGGCCAACACCAAAGCGTTTAGTGTCCTGGTTGTATGCGGCGAAGTGCTTGGGACAAGCTAATGCATGTCGGCTTTGAATGCCTCTCACCTGGGCGACGGCAAGGCGGGCTGTGAGATGCGGATCTTCCGAAAGCTTCTCTGCCGCGCGGGCCCAGAGCGGGGAACGGAGGATGTTAATGGTGGGCGAGAGAACGTCGTTACGGCCTTTCATTCGCTGCTCATCGGCAAGCATCTGCCCAAAGATGTACTCGGATGTTGTGTTCGAACCGGAGGACACCATGATAGGGGCAGGGAACGTTGTCACGTCGTTCATCGAGTTGCTGACTCCGACAGGGCCGTCACCCATGCAGACGGATGCGATGCCCAGTGCATCCACGCCAGAGATGACCGATGCAGGCATTGATACCAGTGCCATGATCATCACGCTAAATCATTTCCAATATCAATATTTGGTTGAGAACTATTTCTTGGTGACTGGTATGGTATGCAAGACGCTAGACGTACCACTGTGTCTCCCTGTACCATGGCATAGATTTGAGATGTGTTCAGCTGATCCATAAAGGCTTGAACCCTATCTTCCGGGGGAGCGGACTTGCTAAGCCATAGTGGCTCAGTATCAGACCATGATAACGCCGAGACCATAACAGGCAAGGCAAATGTGAAAGTCCGGACTGGAGTCATGGCTACGCTGCCGATGACCTGGCCATTTCAAAATTCAGAGACCAAGGAAATGGCTTACAACAAAACTTCGCAATTAGGAGGGAAATTCCCCATCTTAAACTTGTAGCCCATTGCTGGTTAGTACAGGCTTTCCGCCGTACAAGCAAAGACGGCCATCAACTCCACAAACGTTCCTTTATTCCTAGCTAGAGTTTAAGATTCTTTCCTCTTATCAAGCAATTTCCGGGGCTGCCCTCCTTATCCGTCGTTGTCTTTTATTGGCTATCTTCGGCGTTCAAAGATGATGTGCGGGCTTCTGGTATATAGACAACGATGCCGAAATATTGGGGATATTAAGACGCCGACAATATCTATGAACTAGCCTATGTTTAGTCTAATCAACCAGCCATGAGTCTTGGCTTCTGAGGCAAGCTGTTCCTTGTATTCAGCACCCTGGAACCTACATAAGTTTGCTGACACACCAAGGAAAACCCCAAAACCAACCACGACTTGCAAATCATCAGTTATTTCGGGGTTTCCGCTTAGTGCCTATCCACAAGAGAGCCCTATGACAATCGGGTGTTCAAACAAGCGGGATCTGGGCCAATTTGTTTCGTTCCCCTGGCTTTGGGGGCGCATTTTGATTGGCCGCGGTATTGCTCACGCTTCAACTGCTGCCGCCGCCGCCGCTGATACTCGGGTTGGTGGCGTTGCGACCAATGACGGCTACCGATGCCGTCGGGGACAGCGAGAGGATGTCACCCTCGTTCTTCAGCAGAACCATGCCATCGGCAGTGAGAGTAGCGATGAGCTCGAGCCGGTGTGGATCCTCTCCCGAGGCCTCGGGTATCTTGACGGTATCTTCAAAGCGCTCCCTCTTCCGTGCCCAGTATATGAAACGGCGCGGGCTCGTGTCGAGAACCTCAGCAGGCACTTAGCCGAACACCAGTGCATCCAAAAGTTTCTGTCCAAGCCACCTCGTCGGGCCCGGCATTCGGGGTCCAAGCCTAAGTAGGGGGCCCTCACTGTTAAGTACATGCCAAGCCAGTCTGACCCAACCAGCCCTGACAAAGCCTATTCCTTCCGGAGGATCTTTTCCAATAGCCTGCGACCATTGTCGCAGTACTCCCTATTGACGCGTTTGCACGAGGTCATGAAGGATTACGGGTCCGCATCGCGCATTGTGGGCTGAAACGGCAGTATGTACAGCTCTCGTGGTGTTTGGCGGACCACCTGCGATGTCGTGCCAGCTCCACCAGTTGACGGCTGCCAGCAGGCTGGCCTTCTCCTTCAAGTAGTTTTGTCCATTGAAGAAGCCATGTCGTTGGAGGGGGTTGTCTCTCACATTGGGCCTTGTGTTGCGTTGGCTCCTTGTATCGCTGTTATGTAGCACTAAGCGAGCCACTGGGAAGCGTCTGCTTCTCTCGCAGATGCCGATATGGCAACCATCCGGTTCCCTTCACAGGACGCTTGGGATGCAACCTGCCCTCTCCTACACTTGTTAAGCTTCCCCTGAGCGTGGATCTGGTTCCCGAAGCTAACCACCCTACATTCCCCGTGCAGCTCCACGAGGTCAGGCGACTGGCAGCCAACTGTTAACTGAGTAGGCTTTCACTTGGTGTAGTGTAGTGGCGCTTGTCTGCAGGAGAAGAATTGACAGACACTCCTATCTATTCCGGTACATCAAATCACAATGCCTTTCCCGGTAGGTAGGCGATTTATCTGGTCACGGACCAAGCCGCCGGAAAGACTTAACACTCTCTTCGACTTTTGAATCTTTGATATGAGCAACATAACTGCAGCACTAATCGACTGTATCGCAAAATTTTCGGCAAGCCCCGAGGCGCACTTCTCGGCATCATGTCCGCTATCCTTCCTCTCGGTTGCTGTGTAGCGACCCTCTCTGTTAGTATGGTTGGCGATCGATTCGGACGTCGAATGGAAATATCTGTTAGTGCCTTGACCTTGGTTTGTGGAGGCATCACCAGGACGTCTTGGTTCATTGTACGTTGCCTTCCCTCTTCCCCAAAGCTTTCTCTTGTCGAATACTCTGTCTCAGCTGAAAGTCCATATACCACCAACCTGTGAGCAGCCGTATTCCCTTAGTATTCCGCTTCATCCCCGATTTCTGTCGCCCCCCCGGCAGTCTGCTTGGAATATGCTAAGCTTACGACTCATCTTGGTGTGGTCCTTTGTGATTATTGTTCTTAATTTGATCTCAAAGAAATATTGAATGGTGCTCCTGATTCATTATATGCAGCCTATTCCCATCGAAGCCTTCCCTGTTGTATGCCAGGTCCCAGTTTTCTCAGATAAATATCAACACTGTCAGCCACCCAATAACTCGATCAAGTCTAAGATGGCCCCGTACGCGTCTAAAGAAGACAAAGCAATGTCAACTCCAGCAGCTAAGAAAGCCAGAGAGTCCTCTGCCATCGAACTCTCTCCCATTAGAACAACTTCACCATTTTCACCGATGGCCAGACCGAGACTTTGCGGAAGTACGCGAAGTCGTTGCTTCCCGGAACACCCCCATGATTCTCCTCCTACCGCAAACTTAATATCCCAAAGTAGCATGTGCTCCACCTTCATGCAATATGTCAGATATGATGGCACGATTTTCACATCCTCTAGGCTGGCAAATTTACCAGTATGAGTGTTTATGACCCGGCCGAGGACATCCAACCTCACTCCAAGAATAGCACCCAAGTCAAGAGGTTTCTCGTGGGACCCACACGTTAACACCAGGCCTCCCTTGATCGGGTCGTAATTCTGGCTTGTCTTTGCTAACAACATCTTCTATGATTTACTGCCTAATTTTTGTTGTTATTGTTGTTATTGTATTTAACGCTAGGCTGTTCCTGTTATAGGACAAAGGGCGCCTAGGGTTATAGGCTTCTAGCTAGTAAGTAAGTATAAAATAATACTAATTATAGTCCCTCTCTGTCATAATTAGTATATCTTTTATGCTATTATCTACTCTATACTTCTACTAACGTCCTAGGAGTTTAACTAGAATTAATCCCTGCTGTTAAGTGCCTAGGGCTCTTTAGCTTCTAGGATCTATACAGTATTCCCTAGTTAATTTATATTATATAAGTCTCCTAGGGATTTCTATGTACTCTGTTATATAGTGCTACTTATATATCTATGTTATTCTAGAGTTACTCTTACTATAGTTAGTAGTAAAAGTACTCTATATACTATATTAAGAAGTTAAAGAAATAAAGGAAAAAAAGGAGTATAAAGGCATAGGTAAAGTATTATTAGTGTAGTAGTAGTAGTAGTATAATTACTACTATTACTAAGGGAGAAATTAGTAGATAAGTAGGTATTAGTACACCTAACACCTTTATCTAGGCTTAGCTACTAGTGGCCTAGGTGTTAGCTATCCTATAGAAGGTGCTAAAGCAAGGTCTTAGACTACCTATAATAAAGCCTATGCTACTGCTCTATATTACTGCTACCTAATAAATACCTACACTAGTAGCCTTAGCTATTATATATCTAAGGGCACTATATAGTAATAGTAGTATAGTAATAGTTAAGTATATCTCTTATCCCTAAGGTAGATTTTATATAAAAGTTATTATTATTAAGTAGTAAAATAAAGTTCTAGAAGTCTTTTATTACTGCCTAATAAATATAAGCTATTGTTAATCTAGGTAGTAAGTAGCCTTTAACTTTTAGTACTATAAGGGTATTTAGGGTCTTTAGGTTACTATAGCTATAGTGTTGCTTTACCTATTATATCTAAACCTATTATAATATTTAGTAAGTTGCTATGTCTTAACTTTACTACTATTAGCTAGTATAGCTTTGTTCTACTAAGGTACTAATTTCTAGCGTAGGTTTTAGTGTTATATTTAGCCTAAGCGTTCTATAGCTGTCTAGGCAGTGCTTCCTACTATATAATAAATGCTTCTTTTTATTACTATTATAGTTTCCTCTTAATATAGCTATATATTAGGGGTAAATATATAAGTCTACTAGTGTATTTTTATGCTTTCTTTTATAAGCTTATCTATAAGCTTATTTTTGCTATCTATATATATCTTAGCACCTAGTAGACTTTAACCTTCTCCCTATAGCTTTATTGTCCTAGTAAAGTCTAAAAATACCTTCTATAATAACTTTATTAAGGCACTGTTTAGCCTATAGATTACTACTGTATTATTAAGGTATACTATAATGCTGTCTGTCCTCTATTGTACTTAAGTGCCTATTAAGCCTAGCATAGGCCTCTTCTGCTTTAGCGTTATATACCTCTTCCTAGGGCAGCTGTTGTTTACCTAGTAATTAGTTTTTACCCTAGAAAATTATATACCTATAGCCTATCTTATCCTTGTTTCCTATAACCTATTAGTATATACTATTATATATATTAGGCTAAGGTCCTTATTTATTTATAGTAGGCCTCTTTTACTTCTTCTTTATTTATTCTTTTGTCTAATAAGTTAATAGTCTATAGTATATCCTATGTTATAGTACTAGTTAAGGAAACTCTAGGATACTCCTAGCTACATCTATAAAGATTATTAAGTAGACCTGGCCCCCTTTTTAGTTAATCTAGGGGAATATTCTTATTTATTATGTTAGGGGGTAATTCTTATTAAGGGTCCCTAGTTATAGCCTATAGTAGTTATATACTATATCTAGTAGAAGCTTAACTAGGGGTATACTTAATTCTTATAGAAGTATTAGCGTAGGGTTATCCTCTATATTAGTAAGTAACCCTTATTACTTTGTTAACTACTGTCTATATCTAGCTAATGCACTTAGTTAGTCTATAGTTAATGTAGGGTAAGTGTTATTGTATATATTTTTGGCCTTGTCTAGCCTGTCCTAGGTACTAGATTTCTAACGTATATAATGCCTAAGGGAGAACTATTATGTATATAGTGTGTTTTATGCTAAAGGGAGGGCTCCCTAGTAGACCTTATTAAGCCTTATAATGTGTCTTACTACTGCCTTTACTGTTGCTATTCTGTTCTTAATATATTACTTAAGTCCTAGTTACCTATCTAGGTATACGCCTAGCTACCTTATTACTAGCTTAGGTAATACTTCCTTTTCCCTATGTTAGATAGTAAGGTTATTACTTTTCTTTTTTTATAAAAAGTATATTACTTTTGTCTTTACTTTATTAAAGTAGATACTGTTATCTTTTCCCTATTTTATTGTTTTTTTTAGTATTACCTAGGCTAGGTCTTAGCTATATTCCTCTGTTTAGCTAATACATAGGATCCTATAATTATTAGTGTAGCTAAACTATATTCTAGTATTACTAAACTAATATAGAAGCTTAATATAGTAAAGGTAGAGTATTAGTAACGCTAGTAATCCCTAGGGGAGGCTATAATAGAGAGGCTCTATAGGGACATATAATCTTTAAAATATACATAGGCCCTCCTTCTTATAGTAAAGGATAAAGCCTAGTTAACTATATTATCTAGCTATTTTTACTTTTATAGGATTTTACTTAGTTACCTACTGTTAACTATATTAAATGCCCCCTAGATGTCTATTATAATAAGTGTACAGTAGTACCTATTATTTAGTGTAGCTTCTATATTATATACTAAGGAGGCTACTATATCTATTGTTAACCTCTTTAGTAGGGCCTTAGCTACTTATAGGTGTAGGACCTTATAGTTAAGGTATTTTTAGGCTAGCCTTCTTACTATAAGTCTTTTTAGCCTTTTGCTTATTATTAATAGGAGTAATATTAGCCTTTATCCTTTAGGTGTACTAGTATCCTTATTTAGCTTTAGGATTATAATAGTTTCTATATCTTAGAATAAGAGTAGGTAGTGCCCTACTTTAAGGTATCTTTAATAAAGCTAGCGTATATACTTGCCTATATATAGCTATATAGTGTATAGTATAGTAATTATAATTTTATTTACCCCTAGGGTAGTATTACCTATGCCTAGGAGTACTACTTTAGCTTCTTTAACTGTTATATAGCTATCCTATTTAATTTTCCTCCTAGGTATAGTAGGGGTATATAGGCTAATATTAGTGCTAGCGTTAAAGTGTTCTAGTAGCTGTCTTCTTAGGACTTTAGCCTTCTTAGTAGGCGTAGTAACTATGTCCTTATTATCCTATAGAGGGGGGAACCTAAATTAGGTGCTAGGTTTATACTATCCTATTACCTTATATAGGTCTTTATTAGTCTTTATTTTATTTATTTATTTTATCTAGTATTTAGACTTAGCCTTTTAAATAGTGTCTTATAGTTATTTAGTAGTAATCTTTATCTTTTTATAGTTACCTTATAGTCTTACTATATAGTGTTCTTTTTTAGCTAGTGTATAGTTATTATCTTACTAGGCTATAGACTTCCCTTTAACTTATTAGGTTTTTACTATTACTGCTATGTTTTATAGTATCTCTATAAGTATAGTAGCTAACTAGTCTAGGTTAGCTATTATATTTATGCTATCTAGTAGAACCTAAAGTGTTTATTTTACTATCTTTATAAATTTCTAGATCTTTAAAGTAGTGTTAAGTAATACCTTTGTCTTACTCTTTAGTATTAGCCTAATAGGGAAGTTTACTGTTGTTAATAGGGTTATATAGTCTAAGCTAGTATAAAAGTGCTTAGCTAGCTATAATATTACTAGTAGTATACTAAAGAAGACTAGGTCTAGTGTGTTCTCTTTATTATATATAAGGACGCCTAGGGGACTAATAAGTAGTATATAATTATTATTTATCTATTTAGCTAATTACTTTGCCCTTTAGCTTAGTGTAATCTCTAGTTACTATATAGGATACTAGGCATTAAAGTTATCTATAATAAAGGTATTCTATAGTAGCGTCTATACTTCTAGTGTATCTAGGATAACTTTTATCTAAGGTTCTCTATAGACATTAATATAGTATTATCCTTATACTATTGTCCCTAGTATATCCTATATAGGTATATAGGTAATATTAAAGGTAGCAGTGTTATTATATATCTTCTAGATGTATATTAGTACCTGTAGTCTTGTTTCTATATCTTGCTACTCTATTACTAGTAAAAAAAGTATATAGTTTAGTATAGTCTTGGTTTTTAAGTATTTATCTATAGAGCACTATAGTTCTTAGATTATAATAATATCTACTTGCTTATAGTCTATAAAGGTAAAGGCTATATTATACATTAGCCTTAATTATCTAGTATTAATATAGAGTATTTATAGTTATACTATTATTAGAGGGGAAGTAATAAAGAGGGCACTAAGGTGCCTAGTTTAAGCTTATAGGCGTTTAGTATAGTGCCTCCTTTTAATATATCCTCTATTTCCTTATTAATTTATTAAAATATATTTAGCTTATTATTATATATATTATTAATAGCCTATTACTGCTAGGCCTTTAGCCCTAGGCTCTTGTTTATTTACTTGTCTATTAGCTAAGTAGGGAGTACTAGGGTGCCCTACTAAGCCGCCTTGTACTGTTTTTAACCCCTCTGTTTAATTACTTACTTCTAACTCCTTGTTAGCTAGGTTATATTATTGTTCTCTTTAGTTAGTTATAGTAGGTAGTTATAAAAGCTTTAGAAGGGTCCTTTGTAGTTAGTGCACTACTATAGCTTTTTATAGGGCTTATTGCTATAGTCTACTTCTAGTGTCCTATAGTTCTTGTATAGTTAGTGTTTAGTATAGGGTCTAGCTTTATGCTAGTTAAAGTAGATTATATATTATATAGGTCTAAACCTATCTTAAAGTTGTTATAATAGTAGGCTATCTAGGAGTCTAAATAGCTTTACTTTTTCCTTAAGTGTAATAATCTATGTCTAGTTGTCCTAGTTAACTATGCCCTTTGTAATATAGCACTTCTTTAGTTACTATCTTATTATAATATAGACCTCTATTTAGATTAGTGCCTCTATTATATCTACTATATTACCCTTGTAGTTATATATTGTTAATAGGACACCTTTAACCCTATAGAACGTCTAGGTCTAGGTACTATTAATAGTAGTTACACTAAGCTGTTTAAATAGCTTAGTGTAGCTATTAAATATAGCTTATCTTGTTCTATAATTATCTATAGTAATTATAAAACTAGTTAGTACCTTAGTTATCTTTTTAATATCTATAATTTATACCTTATAGATTCTAGTAATATCCTTATAAATAGTTAAGGAGAAGACCTAGGTGTATAGTATCTAGATAAAGATATAGTAGTTAATATAGTGTTGCTATATTCTTCCTTATATATTTCCTTAGCCCTAAGGAGGTCCTTGACTATAAGACTTCTCCTAGACTACTATAACTTGGCCTTATGGCTAAGACTAGGCAGTTAGCTTTACGTTAAGTTGTTTAGTCTATAGGTAGCTTCTAATTATAAGACTAGATAGCTAGGCTAGCTAAGTAACTCTATTTCCCTTAAGGGTATTATATAATAGGTTAGTATAGTAGTTAATAGTAGCTTAATAATCTCCTTTACTTCTAATCTATTAGAGGGACTACTATAGGTTCTTAATAAGTGTGTTTACTATAAATCTATAGCTGTTATTAAGGGCTATAATCTTACTAAGTATCTCCTCTAGATAAGGTTAATGTATTTAACTTACGTTTATTGTTAGGCTATATATAGATGCGTTTAGCCTAAGCTAGTGTTTTAGACTAGTTGCTATACAAGTAAAGTCCTCTTGTGTTAAGGTTATTATTATTATAGTTAGGCTAGAGGTTACTATTAGCCTCTTTTGCTTTATAGAGGAACCTTTGCCTACTGTTGCTCTAGATACAGTTAATATTGCCCTTGAGGCTAGGCGTATGCCTGGCCGCAGCGGCGGCCGCAGGGTTGCTGGCCCTTAGTGTTCAAGGGCTAATATTTAGGTAGTTTGTGTGTGTTAAGGGGTTATTAACAATTTTGATGTGGTGCACGCGCGCGCACTAACAGTGCGCGCCAAGAAAAGTATGTAAGAGGGAAGGTTGGATTTACTGCCCAAGTGGGTGCTGAATGTACCAGGACAGATGATGCTCGTGGTTGTCTCAATTTCCACCGTGGCACTCTTGATTGTCATGACTTGTGGGACGTCCACAATCACCTGAGAGGTCTTCTCCCAGATGGGAATGGCGCTTAGTGTGAAAGGAATGGCTGATGGGTTGCCAAGTTGTATGGCCGCCGGACACATCATCTGGACCGTGTAATTGAAAGTTGGCACCTTTGACGAGGAGAACAACTCCCGAGTCTTCTGCTTGAAAGAGAGTCCCACTTGTTCCATGCCTGGAACCAGTCGATGGCTGCTCACGCAACCTGGGAACTCGCGTTTAGTCAACTCAAAGTCGCTAATGGGCGGCCAAGGGGGCGGCTTCGAGTTGACTCTGATTGGCAGTGTGGCTTGGAAAGTCTTCCATATCCTCTCTTTGGCTCCCTTAACAGTAACTGTTGCTTCGATCCAGAACTCGACATAGCCGTGCCACTTCTTACTGAAGCCGCTGTTACTGTAGTGATAAGTGCCTGGTAGCGGTTGTCCAGGAAGCTCTGCGGCAGCATCGGCCTTGAGTGGCGCTTTGATGAAGTAATTTCTCTTCTCCTTATCTTTCAAACAACTGTTTACAGTTGTCTCGCTGACATCTGTTGGTATCTTCAGCGAAAATGGCCAGGACAGGCTTTCTTCAGCGCCAATGTTGATAGCGCCTTCATGTACAGTGTCCGAAACGTCAGACTCGCCCCAAAATGGGAAGCGGCTGCGGTAGATGGTCTTAGAATTTCCATTGTCATTGACCAGTTTTGCTTTGGCGCGTCCTTGGAGGCGTGCGCGAACGGTGGCTGAGGTTGTATTCAGAGGGGCTTTCCGTACAATATGCCCGTGGATGACACTGCCTGGGAAGCATGGTACCCTGGGGTCGAGGAGTTCGATGGAAAGTTTATCGTTGGTTGTTCGCGATGTAGGAGGCATTGTAAAGTCTCTGTGAACTTCATCATTTCATCTGGTTATATACAATGAAAAAGAAGTTCATTTCAACATGGGGATGTTGATGGCATAATATTTCACAGAGAGGATGGTTGCCTAAACCTCACTGCTGGTGGAGGCATGCATTCCTACGGCGATAAGCGACCAACTCCAATGATCATCCCTTTGAGGTGGGTCCTTTTGAGGGGCGGCTGATTGACTAAAAATAAGACAGCAAGTGTGTCTAAAGTTCTAAACCCTTCTAGTACTCTCAATGCAACATTCAAAACTCTGTTGCCTGCTCAAAGGCCTTCTTTTTTGCCTATGAAACACGGCACTGGAGACAATTAGTTGATGGGAGGCTATTGGGAATCACTGGCGTTATCACGCTTGTATACGCGACCAGGAACCCCTGCACGGTGTCCCTGGCGCTGCAACATTGCCTGCTTCTCTCCTTGGTGTAGCTAGTCTCTGTATTAGTAAGGTAAGCAGGCAGTATTACATAGCAATGCAACTTGTTAAGGTCTATGACAACGCCAACAAGCGCTACTACTATTAGGTTGTGTAATATTCGAAGTCACAAGACAACAGCGAGACAGTGAAGCCTATGCCGCTGACAGAGAGCAGTCGTTCGAAGAGCTGTTGACAATTGCACAAGTTTTAGACCTAGATAGCTTAGCCGTAGATGAGAAGTGGTACCTGGCTGTCGGTTTCTGCGAGCTCATCAGGCTCAAGTACTGCGCTCCAAGATTTTAAGTGAACCATCTGAAGGCACTTGTGCTCAAAGTTGACATTGATGGACTTAAAAATTGGCTATTCCCTCGGCGAGTGCAAACTGAAGGACATGCAAGCGAAAATCATGTCATTGGACTGAAAGGGGTACTTTTTCACTAAGATTTGGTTTATGACTTGTCGCCTTTGTTGAAGAATGGCAGGGCAAGTGTCATCGTGTCAGGTCAGGTAAGAAACGATGGTCAGGTCAGGTCAGATACCCCCCCCCCCAATGGTCGCCTTGACTACAGACTCCACTGGATGTACATGTCAACAAATCACAGGTTATATTACTGCTAGCACAACTCTCACTCTGTGGGAGCAGCAAGGTAAGGCAATATCTGTTAATATTAGTAATAACTGTGATATAAAGCTAACTAGGAGTAGGCTGCCTATAGTAGGCAAAGGCTAGCTAAGAAGAAGGTAGAGGTAGGTCACATAACCTATAGGCTCCTCTACTAATACTCCCCCTTAGGCTCTACTAGCCTACTCCTGTATATTATAATAATAGTAGTAAATAACTACTTAACCTTAAATTCTCTAAATCTAAAAAGTTTTTAAAGTATATTATAACTTTAGTAAAAGGCTAGTAATTTACTTATTAGTCTAATAATAATTTATTTATATACTAATAAGCTTATAAAAACTATAAACTATATAATTTATTATTTATATAGTTTATTTATATATTTATATAACTTATTAATTTAACTTATTTATTATACTAAGTAGTTTAATAAAATCCTTATATTTATTTAAGGCTAATACTTTTATTAGGCTATTAGTAGTTATCTTAGTACTATAAATAAGTTAAAAAGTAATATTTTTATAAATATTAACCTCTTAGATTATTTATTTATATTAAATATTAATACTTTAAGTTTATACTTTATTAAAAAGATTTATAATATTAATTATTATATTAGTACTATTAGTAAAAAAAATAGTTAAAGTATTTAGTAGTTAACTAAAAAGCTATTTAGTATAGTAATAAATTTACTTTATAGTAATTACTACTAGTATAAGGTTAATAAACTTTACTTTAGTAAAGCTTAAAATAATAAAGGTCTATTACTTAGACTTTTAGGCTACTAGTAAGCTAGTAAAGTAAATAATATAACTACTTATAAATACTTATAATAAGTAATTATTAGTAAAAAAAGTATTTACTATAGTATAAAAGCTAATATTAGTAAAAAGGTTAAGTCTACTAAATAAGATACTATAATAAGTAATACCTTTAAGGTAGTAAAAAAAGTACTTAATAGCTACTTAATAAGTAAATAATAGGCTAATATTAGCCTAAGAAGAGTTATTAACTATAAAAGTAATATCTAAGTATATACTAATAGCTAACTAGTTAAAGTAGCTAGTCTATTTAATATAAAGTTATTAGTTAGCTTTAGTATAGTTATCTTTATTCTAAGTAATAAAAAGGTCTTAGTTAGTAAGTAATAAGGTTTTAACTAGCTAAAGGTTAGTATAACTAAAGTAATAAAGTATACTCTTAGTATACTTATATTAATTAATATAAATCTTATTAGTAATAGAATACTAAATTTAAAAGCTAAAAAACTAAGAGGCCTTACTAAGGTCCTTTAGTAAGTAAACCTTAGTAAGTATATTATATACTTTCTTAGTTATTTTAATAGTAAGTATAGCTACTATATTATTATTAATATATATTAAGGTATAGGTATTAAGGTCTTTATTATAAAAGAGGTAGATCTTCTTTTTAAGTAGCTAAAAGCTAATTTTCTTTATTTTACCTTTAATAAGTATAAACTACTATAGTAGTAACTTATATAGACTATAAAAGGCCTTTTAGAATAGCTAGACCTTATTATTAGTAGTAGTATAACTAATAGGTTATTTAATATAGATATTAATACTAGCTAGAATAAAAATAATAAAAAAAGTAGTATTAAAGTTATATATCTTATACTTTAATTTATAAAGAGTAATAATAGTAAAAAAGAGGTAAATAGTAATAGTAGTAGCTATAGCTATATATACTTTTTATAATAACTAATTACTTTACTTAAAGTTACTATAGACTACTTATTAGGCCTTAAAGTATATAATTTTATTATTTATATTAGTTTTAATATTAAATACTTATTTACTTAGTAGTACTTTAGCTTTAGTTAAGGGGTTAATAAGAGTATATACCTCTTTATTATTAAACTACTAGATCTTAGTATTATAGGCCTATTTCTAATAGTACTAGTATAAGCCTTCTTTTACTTTCTTAAAGGTAGTAAATATATTATAGCTAGTAAGTAGTACTTTTAATAATATAGCTACTATAAAAGTACTAATAAAGTAACTTTAACTATCTTAGTATACCTAAATATTAGCTAAAAAATATACTTTTTTCTTATAGTTTTAAATACTTATTATCTTATAATAGTAGCTAAGTAGCTTTACTATACTAGTGTAATATAAGTAACTAGTAGTAATATACTTAGTAGTAGATATAGTAGTAAAGGCCTTAATAATAAAGTCTAGCTTATTTTTCTTTATAACTAAAAGAAAATAATTAGCCTCTTATTAAATAACCTTATAAAACTTATTATTAGTAAAAGTATTATTTTATTTACTTAGTTATTTATTTATAAGTTATTTATTAGTAAGTAATAAAGTAAATATAGTAGTATCCTCTAGAAGTAAAGTTATATAGGTAGTATTATTAATATACTTACTATTAATAGTGCCTTTATTAGTTTAGTTAGCCTACTAGTTTTATAAGGTCTTAGTAACTAGTAAGTAAAAATTAAAGACTTAGCTAAAAAACTAAATCTAGAGGTTAGGCTTATTAAAAAGTATATTATAGTTAGTATTTACTAAGATATTTATATTAGTAATAAAGTAAAAAATAGTCTTCTTTTTTTTTTATAAAAATAAATATTATAATAATAAATAACTTACTTTTAATTAAGGATATAAATATAGTAAATATAACTATATAAAGAGCTATAACTAATAAGGTAACCTTTTATTATATAAGGCTTTATTTTTATAAAATAAAGGGGGCACTTACTACCTTTCTTATATATATATATAATATAACTAAAGGTATAAAGGTGTTTAATTTAAGGAGGTTCTTAGTTAATAGTAAGGTTAAGCTTATAGGTAATAATCTTATAAAGGCTTATTTTACCCTTAGTTAACTATAGTAAAAGGTTAAAGATTTATACTATAGTGTTAAGTATATAGTCCTAGAGATCCTCTAGTAGGCTATTATTAATAAGTAAAGTATAAGTAGCCTTTATAAAAGTATAGCTAGTATATTTAATTATATTATTTATTAATAAAGTATAAGTAGTAGTTAAGTAAAGTTAAGTGCCTTTAAAGAAAAGATTATAAAGTACTTTCTTAAGCTTAAGTATATTATTATATATTTAACTTTTAATTAAGAGACCTATTATATTAGTAAATATAGTACTAAACTTCTTAATAGTATTAAGAATAACCTTATAGTAATAAGCTTTTAATAAAGTAAGCTAGTAATAACTACTATAATAGTTAAGAAAGTAAAAAGTATATTATATACTAAGTTTAAAAAAGGTTTAACCTTAATAAGGTCTAAATAGATTTCTTTACTTATAAAAGTAAAAGGTAATAAAGTATTATAGCTAATAAGCTTTATAGATTTAGCTAAGTAGTAGGCCTTATAGTAAAAGTTATTAATTTACTTATATAAATTATATACTTACTTAATAGTAGGCTTTAATAACCTATAATAAATAAGTATAAATAAGTTAATAATATATTATCTTAAAGGTTAATTAGTACTTACTTTAACTATAGTTAACTTAAAAGTAGTTACTATAAGTAAAGTTAAGCTATTAGTTATATAAAAATATAAATATTAAAGATCTATTTAATAATAGCTAAATAGGCCTTAGATTTAGTGTTAATAATATAAGTAGTAGTATAGTTATATTTAATACCTACCTTATATAACTTACCTAGGCTAAAGAGGTTAGCTAGGCTAAGAGGACTATACTTAATATTTTTAATAGTCTAGTTAATAGTCTAAGTTAGGTTAGCTAGATCTTTATCTAGAAGAAAATAGTACTACTACTCTCTAGATATACCTAATTACTATTTACTATAGTAAAAAGTTAAAAGTTACTATAGACTATATAAATATAAAGTAAATTAATAAGTTAAATATAAGGTTAAAGTAGCCTAAATCTAGTATAATATTAAAGGTAGTAATAACCTTATTATTAATAGCTATATATATTATATAGCTAGGCTTTATAGCTAGGCTAGTAATAAAGAAGCTACTAAGAGTACTTA